GAAAACCTGGGCAAGCAGTTCAGCAACACAAATATTCTGCCGAGAATGAAAGTGTCCTACACGCTCCCCATGAACAGGTCTATGGCCATGGCTACGCAAGCACAAGTCCCCTTCACCTGGGTAGGGGACAACACACATGACAGGAGGCGAAAGGAACAGATACATCAAAATGATGTTTCTTATGAGGCCAAAGGACCCTTGGTCCAACTTGCAGGAGTTGGAAAAATCATGAAAAAGAACAACTGAAGGTCTGGGAGAAGCACCAAGACATCAGGACTCGGAGAGTATTGTCCTTTCAGTGGCTTTGGTGATTGTTTTATGCTGTAGGGTTTTTTTTCCCAAAAAAATTTAGTTTCTATTTTGACTTCTGCTCTTCCCACAGCACAATAGGAAGTCTGGGGACAGACGCTGGACAGCTTGCACGAGTCTCATACCTCCACTCTACAGCTTGCGTAGGCTTCGTTTTTCAGCCTAGGTTTCCAGCATGCAGCTTTCTGCTGATTCGCTATTAAATTCGCGAGTGGTTGGTGTGAGAATTCACGCTACAAAGCTACAGACAACCAGCTTTGCTGCGCCTGTATGATAAAAATGCACAAGATGACAATTCTTTACTTCAAAGTTTATACGCAGATATCCAAAACTAAGGGAATGATTATTTGTGTTGAATGGTGCCAACCCAAAACGCTCATCAGCATAAGCCAGTTCTCCCGCCAATACTAATTGAGCATTAGGATGATGCAGTATCTAAAAACATTTATGTTTAACTGAGTGGCTGACAATTCACAGGTACTTTGGGACTTTTTACAAATGCCTCAGTGCACGCAGAAGACGACAGCTTGTTCTGCATCCTAAGTCAGAAGATTAACAGTGCTTAAGATTTCAAGGGAAAGTAGAGCCAGTATCGCCACCGAGTGTAGTCCAATGATTTTTTTACGCTAGCGGTGTCTGGAAAACACGCGTTCTAAATCATATACGCCAAAATACTGAAATTGGCAAGTTTAATGGAATCAGCCTTTCCATGATACCAAGTGCTTACTTCGGGAAAGCTGTTTGGAAAAGCCTCATTTAGAGCACTGACTTGACACTCCAATGTCCTCTGACCAGAGTATCTATAGTAAAAGTAATTTCCCAAGTTTTCCTAACCTCCATGAAACAGTTTTTCCTAGATGAGTAGGATTTCTTGGGATGGTGTCAGAGAAGGCATGGTCCTTGGCTACAACAGGGCAGGGAGCACTCCAGGACAGGAGTGCCTGGCATAGGATATAGGACACCCAACGTTTAATTATTTTAAATGCTAGTGAGATCTTTGCTTTTTACGCAGCAGTGAGCAGAAGCAGCCTCTGACTCATTAACACGATGCAGGTTGGAGTGGAGGTAGAAAAGGTGGGTTTTGCCCAAAGCTTTTTTTCTTCTGAAAAAAACAGGAACGAACAATTTCACAGGTCACTTTGGCTAGCTACTCACAGAGATGTAGTTATCAACTGTTACTATACCCTCAATTCCCCAGAAAGACAGACTAGGAAGATTAACAAAAACTCTTCAGTTCTATAAAATAGTATTTTAAAGCTTTTAATAGCGAAGATTTTTTCTTCAGGTTTTGGGTTTGTTATTTTTTTTTTTTTACTTATATAGAAAGCTATTAATACAAGTCCATATAAAGTTTCTTGAAAGCCAACAAGCCACTGCGACACTTAATTTGAGATGTTACTTGCAAATTAGACTGTATCATCTAGGTAATACTATCATAATAAATCTTCTGGGAACTTTACATGGCAATCATTGTTTTGGAAGTAAAACCATCAGGTTTCAGGAGATATAAAAAAAAAATTACTACCTGAGTGATTGGATCCTCCTTACTATAGTGCATTCAGAGGAAAAAAACCTATTGAGAAGATGAGAGAACTTCATGGAGTATGACTGCAAGGTGGCAGTCTGCTAGCCAAATTAAAGCCCAAAGCGGGAAGCACAGACAAGATCAAGCAATATCAACACTTTTGTTTCAGTTTGGTACTAATGGAATAATTTGTCCTTTCTGTGGTTCTTAAATGGAAATCCCTGCGGAATTGGGATTCAGTATTTTTGTACTTATCCTGCCAAAAAAAGGGATTTCTTTCAATTAGTGCACACCACCAATTACTATTTCAACCTCTATTTCTGTAGTATCTTGGTAAACAAGAGAAAAGTTTTCTTCCCCTCAATCTTAAAAATTAAGGCTAACAGACAGTAAAAGAACAGCTTACTAAAACACTCCTAAAATTTCCATTTTATTGGAAGAGTACTTGAGTTTCAAGAGATATTCAAACAGCCTTCGTTTCAATGAAAAGGCTACCGGTCATCAGTTTAAAGCTCTACATATTCAGACATGATGACAGTTGTTTAAGACCGTTACGGTCAGCCACAATGCTAAAAAATCCCCAGCCGCACCCAAAACACAATCATCAGAGCGTTGCTGAAGTCTTACAGCTATACATTTTTGGTACTACTGATTTAAATATTTTGATAAATACCAGCAAATTGATACCGTTACCGCAGTTAAGAGTCTTTGGCTGGCTGCATTCTACAAGCCCCACAAAAAAGGACTCAAATAAATTAATGAAATAATTTAATCTGTGCTCCTGAGAGCACTGCAGCTTTTGCATTACCAAAAAGCTATAGAAAAGTATTTTTAAAATTACAAGTCACATTTGTACGAGGAGGAATATGTACATGGTAAGGCATCAGCATCGAGTTACAAGAACTCATAAATCAACCCTTGTAAACAAATATTTGAGACGTACTGAGTTACAGATAAAGGAAATCAGAAAAATCTGTGGGTTTTTTTGTTTTGTTTATTGAAATATGAGCAGCAGTATGCAAAAAATATCTTTAAAAACATAACATAGCAAAACCTAATAATTTTAAAATTAACAAAATAAAAAGATGTTTAGAGTTAAATGAAAAAACTCATTGCTAGAACTGTGTTTCCTACAATGTAAACAAAAGCATAAAGGTTATGCTTGCAACAAACACAGAAGCAGGTTTATGGAGCAGCACAATAAAGCAACATTATGTTGTAATCTGATGGTTTGGTCTACTGATTTGAGTTCAGAATGGGTTACCTTCCTAAACAGAAGTTTCACAACTACAAAAAAAAAGTTATTCACGTGTTTGTCTTTTGAAGCAAAACATTTAGAAGATGTTTTGGTTTGTTTTTGTGGGTTGTGGGTTTGGGGTTTTTTTTGCCCCTAAAAACCATCAGCAGCAATACTTTGGGCAACTAAATATCCTGAAAAAACTTATTTCAAACTAGGAGGAAAGCCTGACATTTTAATGTTCTCTAGACTTACACTGCAAGAGTATCTGCCCAAGAATTGACAACTTTCACATTGTAATACTGGGGGGGGGGGAGGAATCATAGCTTCAAGCAACACCCGAAAGAATTCCAATATTTTAAACAATTCTACACCAAATCATAACACATGGGCTGTTTCATCATTCTTTTAACTAATGGGCTGTTCCGTTAGATTTGTCTCTCATCAGTCAGTCATACTAGAAAGTTTTATTTTGGTCCTATAGATACCATAACCCAATGTCATCCCTTCACGTACAACTACTTCATGCCTAATGCAATTAAATGAACGTAATACTTACGCAAGGCACTGGATTGACTGCCAGCAAGACTGAAGTCCTCTAAGGAGGAATATCCAAGCTACTATCTTATCTTAGCGACTATAAAAGCAAACCCACAAAGAACTTCAGCATATGCCTGTTCTAGGCTCTTTGCTGGTATTGCCAAAGCCGTTAGTTAATGCTGTGGTTGGTGCAAAGTAGAAAGACGCCCAAAAAGAAGAAAATACTTACACTACAAAAGCCAAAACAGTTTTCACTGAAGAGTAACATTCAGTCTAAGCTGGGCTATACTGGAAAGGCTCCATCTTCCACTACCACACTACTGGCTGATTCAACTTCTCCATCCTTCCATCTAGATCAAGAAGTGACTTATACACAAGTATGCTGCAACAGAAGCAGCACTCTTTACTATTGCTACACTTAAAACGTCATTAGGCTCAAACAGTTCTCATCCAATCCCTCTGTGCATTGATACCCGAATTTTGTATCGGCAGCACAGATAAACTAAACATGATTAGAAACACCATGAACCAGTAGCACACAAAATTTGCTAACTAGAAAGCTCTCAAAAAGTCCTACTTAAAAGGAACAGAAAAGTAGAACATAGACAAACCTTACCGGGTCTGCTCCTGCAAGCCTACCCTGGCAAAATCAGCAGTCACAAGGATATCCCCAGCACTGCATATATTACAGTTCAAGAATATGTACACAAGCAGAAAAATGCCAGAGTACTTTAGTAGTTAATGACAGCATCAGAAGTGGGTTAACTGGATATTACTGCAGAAATTATGGTTCAGTGCACGGGTAAGCCAATCTAACCACAATACTAAGCACCAGCTCTGGCTCACGAACACCCACTTCAGCACCCATTCTTGAGTCATTTAGTTGGCCACATCTAAACATACAAGTGAACAGAGATGAAGCCAGGTGAAAAACATTTTGGATAAAGTAAAATCTTGTACCTACAGCTAAGATCTTTCCTTAATCCAATGTGCCATGACATTTATTATAAAAGCTAGACGAGACAAAAAAAAATCCTGTAGTGTCAAATATACATATTCAGCAACTCGACAAAAGTCAGGCCCAGGGAGAAGAAAATAGAAGCCTCATCCTGTGGCCAACCAACTTCGCATCTTATTCGATCAAAAGAACCATCTGTGGGTTGCAGTTGCAAAAAATGAAAGAGAAGACCCAAAGGTGAGCGGCAAATAATGTTATTCCCCTTCTCCTGAAGATGCACTTGTTTGTTTTTAAACACACTTGAGAAACTGCTTAAAAAAACCCAAAGAAACCAAAACACCAATATAGAAATTCCTGTACAAGAGAACATTAGGGTTCTGCAGAAGTGTTACAGTTTATGTAATATAGAAATTCCTGTACAAGAGAACGTTAGGGTTCTGCAGAAGTGTTACAGTTTATTCCTTTAAGGCATTTCATAAGAAACATTTTAATGACACGTAAACAATTTTATTCCTTTAAGATCATTTGTTACTTAGGTACCATATGATGCATGATTTCCACATTTGAGCAGAAACTGTCATTCAACAGACGACACAAGAACTTGTGTAAGCAATCAATGTCTCAGGATTGCAGTAATTAACTGCAACACATCTTTTAATAAGTATTTGCATTTTAGAGTTTTCAGCCTCTCCCCCAAACACTGAACCCTTTTCTGAAGAAGTGTTCGGGAAAGAGTAAAAGGAGGGTGGGAAGTTAAAAAATACAACAAGTCTTTTTCAGCATGCAAAGAAATTTTGTATATAATTCACTTCTAATTCTCTTAGAATGTTTCTTTCAGCCTCCTTTTTTAATTATTTAAAGGGGAAAAGTATGCATACGTTAACTGATTTCTTTTAGTGTTTAGTACAGTGTTTAAATTCTCTACTGAGTAATACAACAGCACAGGCAACAGGATTCTTTACATGTGAGAGAGAAATTTCATCATCATATTAATGCAGTCCTTCAATCCCATCAAGCTGCCAACTACAGTTACGAGTCTTCTGATTGAACACCTGCCATCAGGGACAGGATCAAGACCACTGTTTCATGTAGGCTACAAAGAAGTGATTACTTTTGGTCATTACCAACAGGTCTGTATTAAATTACATGATCTGGAAGTAAAAGCTTCTGCATTCAGTTACTAATTTGCTAAGCCACTCACAGTCTTCAAAGAGACTCAAACTCATACTGAAAGTGAATTAAATACAGTGTAATCACTAATACTGCGTAATGTCTACTGAGAGATTAAAAGGCCTAACACAGATCAACTCCAGACAGGCAAAATAAACAGCTAGAACACCAAAAAGAAAACAAAAAACTTATTCCTTCCAAAAAGTAGTAAGCACTGCTATTTACAAATAGTAGTGTTTATGTTAAAATAGAGAAGGGTACCTAAAAAGAAATAGCCTTGGCAACCAAATCCAAACGGCATGAGTGTAAATCAAAGCAAAACAAGAATTACTACTCCAGAAACGTGCAAGATGTTTACCTTGTATCAATTACTATTTAAAACGGTGGTTAAAAGAGCTATTACAAAACTGAAGTGGGAAAAGGCTAAGAACCGCTATTCTGCATTAATATACAGTGTGTTTATGACAGCATTTTCCAATAGACAATACAAGTGTTTTTACACCTCTGCAATATTTGTAAAAAGTATATTTCATGTGTACACTTAAAAAAAATCACATTGTTCAATCTGAGGCAAATTAGCCGTAATAAAGTCTAATTTTGCTTATGACAGATGTCAACCTTAAGATGTTAAACTACGCTAAAAATACAGCTTGCAAGCTGGAGCTGCACATGTTCAAACAGTTTCATAAACGTTAAAAAAAATCCCAAACTATGATATGTATTTATTTTCTGAAGTCAGTCTTCATAATTCTTGTCCCTACAGGACAAAACTAAAAAAAATTTTCCAGTTAAGACATATGCCTGTTTAGTTCTACTTGAAGGAGGGGAAAAGTGTTCTGAATTTTTCAATAGACTTTTTTCCCTTAGGGCTCAACTGTCACTTAAGCATCACAAGAACAAATTGAAATGTAAAACTGATTAGCTATACACAATGGAATTGGTCACAAAGGGATTTAAAAAAAAGTTAAACCGTAAGATCCATTCTCCATATAGCTCACAGTATCCACACTGGAAGTTTCTCTAGAATTAGAATAAGTTCGCTAAAAATAAGGCTGAAGACAAAATTTCAGCACTATGAAACAGATGAGATGGGATTAAGAGGAGAACCCATTTGTGTAAGTACTTTATCCAGCCACTGGAGGGGCCCATGAAGATGAATTTCTATCCAGCATGGAGTGCTCGTGACATCTTGTCGGTGATATTCAGCTCCCCAGCCCTATAAAAATGAACAAAATGTTATCCACCAAGTTAAGAACACGCTTGTCTTTCAAAATAACTGTACTAACAAGAAGCAGGAAATCATGTTTTAAGATACTTATCTGAAGGTAACTCACAATCTAGCAACAGTTCTTATCTAAAGGAAAAAAACTGAGATTGGGAAGGAGCAGCCCGGAGGCTGCACCTGGAAGCCTGAATCAAGTCTTGTCTGCTACAGACTTGGAGCGACTACAAGAGCTCCTCTGCGGAGCGCACTGCTGAGTCAAGAATGACTCCTGGCTATGGCCACATCTCTCTTCTGTTTCTCCCTCCTGCTCCCTATCCTCCACACTCTCAAACTGAGCAGTATTTATCGTAATTGACAAAACGAACAAGACATCTTTTGGACAAGATGCAAAAAAAACCTGGAAGGTCCAAGTCTAGACTCCATGCTAAATCTGAAACAGACTGCATCTTGATTAAACAATGTTGAGAAAACACTACTGTGAGAATAACAGCACAGTTTGACTTCATAAATTCAAATCATGTCTTTTTTCCATAATCAATTTTTTAAAAAACATTATCTTTGAAGGAGTTGCAATTTTTTTCTGCAATCACTTACGCTCCTCTCTGCTCACATTCTTTTTAGTGGTCTTGTAGTTCACTTTGTTCCTTCAAATTTAGAGCATGAGCTCCAATCTCCTTTAATAAAATTATAGCAACTACAATGATCAAATCCCTGTCCTGCACACTGAAGTAACTAAACATTCAATACAGCAATCTGTGCTTTTCCTTTCTTGCATTGACTTCCCTCTCCCCAAATTAACCATTTTCAACATACTTATCATTGAGAACCACCAGGTCAGGTCAGAATAGCTTTGCTACATTGTTACGGTGCTAATGTAACTACTGCTGAATACCCAAATCCACAATAAATTTAAATGCCCCCAAAATAATTTGTTTACCTTTACAAAACTCATTCGAATGGTGCACATTTTGGTGAGCTCATATACTGCTTCAAATCCATGGTTGACAGACTGAGCTAAAAGCTGAGCAAACTCCTGATTGTTAAAAATTTTCAGACTGCATCCACTAGGAATCTTGCATACAGTTGTTGGATGAAAGCCATGGTGGTAGTTGCAGTTCCTGCTCTGTACAAATATGCTGCTATCACTTAAACACTCAGCATAGACTTCCCCACCAACATAGTAGAGATGAACTCCTTGAAAACAAAGATAAAAGTGTTTCAAATTACTCCTTTTTTTTCTTCCCCAAAAATATAGTACTTAATACAATCCCCTTGAAATCAGAGACAGTAAATTTTCTGTTTGAGGAGCTTTTCAGAAAAGCTCTTTTGCCCACACTATAACATACTTGCTCATTTCAAAATACAGCAGACTTCATTATACATCAGCCACTAGATGTCCTTCTCTCATCAGTTACAGAATAGAATGAAAAAACTACTGCCACACATCAACAGTTATGTCAAGCTATTTTCCTAGAGAACTTACGTGGATTTTAAAACTCCAGTTTTATAAAACTGGTAGCTTCTGCCTATGGCAATTCCAACAGAAATAAGTGTCCTGGGAGAACAGGCAGTGATAGACAAGAATGAGAACGTATATCCATAGTCTGCTCTGATTTTCAATGTATTTTATCAAGCAAAAGGAGAGTTAAGTCAAATTAGTTGCACAATTTAAATACCATCAGGCTTTACAGACCTTAAAATCAACAAAGCCCCTAGATTTATCACATCTGCCTGGATTCAGCTATGTACGTAACTGCTTCCCTCCCTTTACGTTCTGAAGCCTGTATAACACTATTACTCACTAAAAATTAATATATAAAAGCTGACCCTTTCAGCATCAAAACACAGATTCTCATTGCTACTTCAGCTGAGATACTCGCCTGCCTTCTCCCAGATCTTCTCCCTTTCCCCCACCCAGCACTGTTACATGGTTGGGACAGAGTTCAGTTTAAGTCTTCCTTGCAATACCCTGCGAATCCACTGCAGACCATCCCGTGGTTTGCCAGATGAGGCTGCAGCAAGTCAACAGATGCAAGTTAATCTTTCAGACAGCAGCAACTGTTGTGAACATTGCTAGAGCCACTTGGGACTAAGGCAGGATGAAGGTTAAACAGAGGAACCACTGGCTTCATCAACTACAAGCAGCTATCAGAAAATCTGGGGTGGGCAAGAATGCACTTTCACAACACAACCCTGTTCATTTAAAAAGACAGAGACCACCACTTGCTAGCTAAGTTCTTTTGAGTAAAGACCTTCCGAGAGATCTCTGAAGAGGGGAGCTGGCTAATGTAACAGTCTGAGAAGAACACAGATACTTCAAAAATAATCCAACGCACAATTAGAAGTCACTTACACTTGCAATGCAACACTTCTACAGAAAAAAGCTTAGCAAATAGGATTGGGTAGTTTTAAGGAGGCAAAAACCCAAGACCTTCCAAACAAAAGCCATAAATAAATAGTATTTTATCCCAAAACAATCTTAATTGTTCTCAGAACTGTTACCATAAAGCAAAGTCTTAGTTTAATAATTAGTATTAGAGATGTAGCCATTTTAAAGCTCATTGCAGCCAATACCATTCTACAACATGCTGGATCCTTGTTACGGTTCTGACCAGACGCGCAAGATTTCTCCGCCAGTACCACTGAAAGGGGTAAGCCAAAACAAAAGAACCTGACAAACCACCTGCACCCCAGAAATCAATTGTTCCCCTTTATAACATTTACTTTTCTCGGACAACAGCATTGCAGAGCCAAGTTTCCAAGAGATATTAATATAACTCGTGTTCTCCAGATTATCTGCAAATTTTTCCTGTATTTATAGTAGTTTCTAATTAAAAGACTGTTAAGGGACAGGGATGGGTCTTGAAGATATATTAACAAGCAACAGTGACTTTCAACAAACAAAACTCAAGACCAACTGTTCCAAATGATCTTAGGTGTTAAAAAGGCCTCTAGATATGTGCAATAGAAATGGGGTTCTCTTCTCAGGACTTAGTTACAAAAAAGGAGATACTCAGAAAAGGAGTACTACGTTGTAAGATAATCCAAGCACATTCCATCGGATGAAAACCGTGCATCTGTACGTACTATCAGCCAAACAGTACGGGAAAACTAGAAGATCTTGCAAAACCTGCTGTCTCCAGGAATCCCTCCCACGCACATACACACCCCATGGATTCACTCAGACAAATGAGCCCTTGCAGTTTTGCATTAGCACTTCAAAGTCCTGCTGCCAACTCATGCAAGATATGTGAGCATACTGTAGACAGCAGCATAATACCTTGCATGAACAACAAAATAAAAATAATCTTTGATATACTGTAAAGTGGTATGAAGAATTTGATTTAAGAAACAGATATAACACAGAATATCAGAAGTCCTGCAATATGTTTCTCGGTGCTGAAACACAAAATTCTACATACAGACTGTCATTAACCATAACAAACAAGCCCCTATGACGACACAGTTTGGTAAGGAAGAGGTAATATTTAATCTTTTAAATTAGCACTAAAGAAAAATGCATGCAATTCCTAGACTAACTAGAATCAAACTATGCCTAAGTTGTCTTCAGATACTGGAGAGGTAGATAATATATCACAGATTACTTCTACTATTCCTATCTGAGAATAACCATTGTTGCAGTATACAGAAGTTGAAATAAAAACAAGGACTTAGCTTCTTAATCATGCGTAACACAACTAAGCTTTACCTTTTCCAATATGTCGTCTAGTGTTCTCAATTGTTGAGTTGCGATTAACATTTGAGAGCAAACCTAAGCAGAACCTGTTTTTATTATTGGAGGGATCTGTAAACCCATCTACTAAGACACTTGTAGAAGATGCATGAAAAGCCTCCCCAACACGATTATTTAATTCGTAATACACAATCGAACACCAGTGTTTGGGTTCTTCATAGGCAACAGGCTGAACATCTGAAAATAAGCAAAATGGAAATACCAGTTTACGTAAATGTTAAAATATTAAATCTAAAACTGTAAAGCAGGCCTTCCAAAATATCAACAGATAACTAAAAGCTTAGTCAACACTTATGATGGGCAAGAACAGTCCTGATTGAGATCTTAACGATTTTTACTTTAATGCATTTTAGCTAGTCCATTGATTTTATAATTATTTTCCTATTTTAAGCCTGATATTAAACAAAAAAAAAACCCACACAAAAAACCATAGATGACTATGCGGTATCAGGTGAAACATGATTCTTCTGTCCACTTTTTAAAAAAATTGTTTTAATTGATATTTTGGGACTCAATTTTCAGAGCCTTTGTGCATATACAATTCCAACAGCAGGCAAAGGTAGCAGAAAAGACTAATTCTGAGAAATGAAAAAAGTTCAACTTGTTGTAAGCCATACTATGCACCTGAGGCTTTAAAAGCAAGAGATGCAAATAAGTGAGGCAAGTTTTATTTCTCAATTCTTTCTGCTACAGCCCCATTTTGCCTTGGAGAAGTGCTTCCACTTGTCAACAAGGTTTACTGCGCCATTTGAAGTTATTCGTTCGATTTGGTCATGAGTTATAAGAAACAAAACTATGTTAATTTTACACCATACTCTACAACTTACCTCTGGTAGATATATTTGGCATGATTTGAGGGATCATTGTATTGCTTGTGTCCATAGACTGAGAATTATCCTGTCCCATTTGATCATCAGGGGGCATATATGCAGGAGGTGGAGTATCAGCTACAAACATGAAAAAATAAGAATAAACCAGAGTAAACCTCAACAATTTAGAGTATTTATTTATTCATTCTAAAGTTGTAAACACACAAAAATACTCTTGAACAAGAGATGTTAAAACATTTGGACCCATTTTCAAAGTAAACTGAAGACAACCCAGCCAGCTGTCTTTACAGCAACCTCCCTCAATAGTTGGATTCTTACCTACGGCACTAATAGCAAGGTTGGACACTTGAGGAAAACTAAGAAATGAGCTTTTTTCTTTTTGCCTTTTCTCTTTAACAACTGCACTCCTGGGCAAAATGACTATAGTTCCCACTTTTTTTTTTCCCCCCTACATAAACGTTAGCTTTCTTGCCTACCGTCTTCTCCGTGTTCAAAAAGAAAGAAGTAGTAGACAAAATAACTTTATTTGCCGTAGCATAACGAAGGCCTAAACCAGGGGGTTTTTTGCTGCTTCTGTAGGCTGAGTTTATTATAAAAGCGTGGATCTCTGCATTCTTCCATTCAGCACAGCAGTCAGCGTACCAACACACTATTATCCCCTATTTCAGAAATTCCCTCCCAATACCATTAATGCATCTGTCCCAGTGATCACAGTCCTTATCCAAGAGGGATAACCCACTGAATGGACACTCTTTTTGCGGCACTGGGCAGCCAGAAAGAACAAAGATGAGGCCACCGAGCCACTGGAAAAATAAATTCTTTCATCTATTAACTTCTTGGCTTTATAAACCACACCAATAACCAGACAGACTCAATAAGGCTTCTTTCCTTTGCCCCTATCAGTTGGTGTTTTTTCCCTATTTTCACGCAAATCGGTTAAGTTCTATCAAAAATTTGCTCTTTTTTTTTTTCCAGTTAAATACCACGTCTTTATTCAGAGAAAGACATCGATAAACTTCTTGCTCAGTCTCTTACATCTGCTTTCTTTTCATTGCTAGATATTCTTGTAAAGTATGTATCAGTTATTCTACATTGAAGCCGTGCAAAATAACTCACCACTATAGTATCCATGAAAAAAACATTTGGAAAAGTAAAACTATAACAATTAACTCTGACCAGTGACAAAACTAGGAAGAAAACCCCCTAAAATGTAAGTAGAAAAGCAATTTATTGCAAGTATCACAAATTCCTGAGGTAGTAAGTCACAACAGCACGTGACATCTCAATTATTTTTATTAAGTTGACATTTAGGCTGTACTTACCCGGTAGCTGAAATGGACTAGATGGTCCAGAGCTAGCTGGGGAGCTTGGGTAAGTGCTGCTGGCTGGAGAAGGTGGATAAGGACTGTTTGGCGAAATGGAAAATGGAGTGCTGTTGGGTTGCTGGAAAGAATCTGGAAATGTCGCGTTGTGTGGCATATGTGGTTCATTGTGGCTTAGGTTCCTAAACTGAACTAGTAGACTGTGCTGTGGATTGAATTCACTATGTCTAGGCACTAACACTGGAGGTAGAACTGAAAAAAAAACAAACAAACAAAAAACAGGGAAACTTAGATTAAAAACTGAGATAGAAGGAAAGAGATACAAATAACGTGCTCATCATGAAAATTTCAACACTAGCTGGAGTGGAAAGAGGAGCAGGGGATTCATCTTCATGCCTTTACGCCATCCTCTCTCCTTCATTTTTGTTTTTTTACATTGCACTTCATGGAAGACTCAAACTTTACTCTCACAAAAATCAGAGCAGAAATGCACTTAAATTTCATGCAACTGGAAGCAGACCTATTTTAACAAAGACCTATTTTAGTCCACATGTAGCATGTACCAAAGTAGTGATTTAGAAGTGCAAGACTTGCTGTATGTGTACGTTACCAAATCAGTAAAAATGGAAATACAGTCTATATTACTATAGTCAAACTATATAGTTACATATAGTCCTTTTCACTGAAGACAAACAAAATCTGTACTACAATATACAACTATTGCCAAGCTGGAGTCATAACTTTTAAATTCAAGAGTGCTGGAGTCTGGAATTCAAGTGCTACAGTAGAGCACTTCAGCCGTTTGCAGTAGAGTTACAACCATTTTGTGGAACAACGGAAGCAACTTTTCACTATACTTTCCAGAGCAACATAATTCATCTCTCCCACTCGTAACCACAATCCTCCTCACCTTCTCCCATGGCAACATGCCTTAACAGCAGACTTGCTACCTGACACAAATTTGGTAGGTACCTTGCTCTAACTGATCATCACTCTTGGTTCTGTTCAGCTCTGCTGCCTGCTAATGGGAAATCAAGTGGGCAACACTGCATCCTAGAATATTTTTTTTATCTCCTCAATTCATGTAACTCACTGATGAAATATTAAGCCCCTGAAAGAAGGCTACCAACCTCCTTGCAAGGACTGCGGTTTTTAAACACGTTTCTCAAAGAAACTGAAGTCTTTTGATTACTACTCTCCTATTTTCTTATAAATGAAGTCTTTGCCACTAACTTTAAGGGTAGCAGGCTTAAGAGATCTGTGGGAAAAGTGTGATTTACCACAAAGAAAAACAGCTAGTACAGAATGGACAACACACCTCCCCAAAACCCCACCAGAAAAGTACACTTTGAACATTCCTCTTCCAAACTCCCCCACACACCCAATGTAATTTGTTCTGCAGTACTGGAGGAGGAGGGAGTGAACAAGGGTGGTTCCTGGAGATGTTGTTCAGTTTTTAGACAGCCATGTTCAAACATACCTGGGCTCTCCACCCTCTTATAGTGGTATGGATTGATGCAGACTTCCTTCTGTTTAGATCCAAAAGGAAATTCACAAATATCCAATGGCTTCAGCTCATGATGGCTTTGTAGATCAGGCCAACGCCAAACACGACAGTAAATTACATGGGGAAGGCCTTTTCTGTGAGAAACTTGAAGTCGTCCATCTAAAGAGCGGGGGATAGTAACACACTTGCTGGGCTGTCCTGGACTGCTCAAGGCTTTCTCCAGTTCTTCCATAGCACCTTTTTTCTTTTTCAGCTTTTTTACCAAAGCGTCAACAGCTTTTTCTGCCCATTTTTCCTCTTCATCTCCTTGTTTCCAGCCCAACAGACGCTTTACAGCTGGGCTAGTAAAGGAGAACAAACTGGCCATTGACGTCATTTGACACAAGTCTTCAAAAGGTTTATTGGGTTTTGTCTGTTGGGGTTTTTTGTTTATTTGTTTTTTCAAATAAATGTCTGTGTACACCAAAAGCAGTTATCGCCACTGATGAGCTGTATTATTTCTTGGAGGCTGACAAATGAACATACAGATGTCAGTGATGAAGTCTTCACATCAGAAATAATGATTGATTCCACCAATTTAGTTCTACTAAAAAGATAAGTTAACAAATAATTAGTAAACAAGTAAAGAATGCGGTAAAACAAAAAGAATGCTTGTTTCCACCCTAGCCATTGCACCTGATTTTGTTCCAAAACAAAATCCCAGAAGTACTAAGACCTCACCCCAAGCTAAATAAAGTAAAACATGATCAGAGTCCCCAGTTCTTGCATTACTGATTAGTGGGAAAAAGGACAGTCAAGGGACCAAAGGGACAGCATGGTTTCTGTTAACAACGTTCCTTAAATCTGTGAGTTTCCTTCAGAAGACATGCTTGGGGAATATGTTTCAAAACTGGTGTTATATTCCTATCACAGTGCTTTACCAGAAGACAAACTTGCTCTGAAGAAACAGGGAAGAGGCATGGTGGAACCAGTAGTTCCACAGCCAGTACTGCATAGAAGTACTCAGCTGCTCAAATGGATCTTTTATTTCCCAAAAGGAGAAAATATTAAAGCATCTATTTGCTCTTGAGCTCTAATTAGGTACCCCATGCTTTTTGAAGAGTATTAAAAAAAAAATGAGGAAGAAGCTGTAGATAACTAAAAACACCAAAAACAATTAAAAGAAAAACCCAATAAAAACCTCAAACCAACCCCTCCCCAGCCACCACTCAGAAAGGTGGTCAACCTTTTCAGCTGTGGCTATTTTTATGCTGCACTTCCTCATATCTTTTAAGAAGAGTATTTGAGGCACTGGATATTTTTAGCCGTTGGCAAAAAAAGACTTTTCTTTTCCCCAGAAAAAGAGGGGGGAAAAGGCATGGCAGAGTAAGTACTAGAAATGTGACCTTTACTACAAACTGCCTCAGAAAGGAGAGGAGCAGAACAACACTGTGCAACTCAAACTGCGCTCATGAATGGTGGTGTTTTCTACCACTCACCAGCTCTAATGCAAATCCTCCCCCCCTGATGTGCTGTGGCAACGAACTGATAAGAACTTGTAAAATCCCTTGTGAATACTAAATAAGCAAGTATAGACAATGAGCAGCTGGCAAAAAGCAAGAGCAGAGCTAAGAGAAAGGATGTCAATAACAAAAGATGCTTCCTTTCTTGCTACAGAGACTGCCAAACAACATTGTCTCTCAACTTTTGATAAACCGTGGTGAATTAGAACACCTAACATACCCCGAGACACCAAATCTGAACATTAAGAGAAAAAGCAGGGCGGGGGGGAAGCAAGATTTAAGTACCTCTGTGCTGATTCTCTTACATTGCTACCTTTAATCAAGGGGGTTTTTCCCTCCCACCTTTGATTAACTAAAAGTCATCTGATAAGGCTTTTCTAGGTGTCTAGGCACATTTACAAGCTCAGACACAGGGATTGGTACTTTCCTATAACAGAACCATATATTAAGCATCATCAGCCAAAGACACAGCAACCATCCCTAGAGAAAGCATTCATAATGTCCCACATGTAATCATCCTAGATTTTCTACTGGGGAGGTGGAAGGTGAGGAAAGCAGGGAACTGACCCAAGGACACTTGGCTACAATGAAGAGTGTAAGTTTAAAAACTTATGAACACCCTTTACAGGAAAAAATCAATTTATTTCACACAGTAGCTTAATCCCATTGGTACTTCTTTGCTTATTCAGCTTTGTTTCAATAATATGGAAAAAACTGGGAAAAGCAAAACAAACAGAAAAACTGTTTGAAGATCTTTCTTCCTAAGCTCTCATAAAAAACAAAATGAAAAAAAGAAATTAAAAGAACAAGAGTCTGTCACTGCTTCAATAAGTCCTCAGAAGAGGGTATTGCAAAAAGAAAATAAAAAAACCTATTATGTACCACCTTATTTCTTCAGAAATAAGGATGTCTGCACTTTAAGTACAAATTTAGTTCCCTAGAACTATTACACATGAGAACTTTGCACCCTTCAAAGTAACAGGAAATACATAAAGGGAGATAAACTTGGCCACGAATACAGACTAAATTTATTCTTTTACTGAGGATAAAAGTTTAGTGTTCTAAAAAGTAAAAGCTGTTTACAGCCACAATTAACTTACTTCCAAGCCTTGCGTACATTAAATAGCTGTAAGATATCAGCAGTTGCTCACACCCCTAAAAAAGGAAATGAACCCATCTAGAATCTCAGACCAGCAAGACGACAATTAAAAAGTTCTATTTCTGTTTCTCAGCTATGCTTTCAAAGAATCTTAAGAATCATCAAGGCAGAACATACACTGGAAATTCCTATAGTTAAGTCGAGCTCAGAAGAGATGTCAAGAAATGCCTCTTGGCTGTTGCCACTCTGATCTATTCCATTACAGCTGTCCCGTCTATATTATGCAATCAAGTTTACAGATCTATGATTCTATTCTATGATCATGTATAATGTCTTTTTTTTTTTTAGTATTTCAAACACGGTAACATGCAGCAACTAGGAATGAAATTTTACTGGTTGTATATCATTTCAACATCATTTACCCACAAGTATGCTCATGGAATAAACAAGCTAACTAAAAGCAAAGAAAGCTGGAACAGCTCTACTAAAATGATGCTTTGCAGTAACTAGTATTTGTAGGGCAACTATTGAGAGAATTTTGATAAATGACTCTGTCCTATAAACTATGATTTTAGAAATAATCTGCTTGGACTAAGTAACATAATTAGCTATAAAAACTTTACACTAGTCTGAATACCTATCAACAAAAGCAAAACCTAGTAGAACAAGTATTCCAGAACCATCATAACAGATTTGATCAAAACTGTTTCAACTTCTTAAAAAAAAAGTTTCCACATACATGCTTGTACTATAACCACTGAAAAACGAGACTGTTGAAGTTCAAAACTTTAATAGCATTTACTGTAAATCCATTCTGGCCTCCAAGGCTTTCAAGACTCTTCTGCTGAAGTGTATTTTTACCTGTTCAAGAACAGCAAGGGCAAGAAAGAAACCCTGCAACAAACTGATAGGCTTTGCGAGGTACAAATGGACACCGAATTTATCTAATTATAGGCCTTTCAGAAGTTCATTCTGAAAGGCAAAAATACTGAAGCGTTACAGCTTTTGCTTTTTCTTAAGAAAACAAGGTAGTATTAAAAAGCTTCATGAATTATTTGTAGACTAAAAGTGCTCCCTTCTTTGGAGCTATTTCAGGTCACAAAGCTGTAGGTTCAGGCATTTATGTAGAACCCAAACATTTTCATGTAGAAACTGCGACTCTTGTAGGGTTTTAAAATTTCTGAATGAATGGCATAAACCACATTTAGAACATTTACTTGCATTTGATGTAATTTCAGCATCTAATTTTTGAAAGGTTTCTAAGTAATCACGACATCTGCTAGGAACAATTTCACCAGATCATCTATATTTACAATCAATTTCTTCCAAGGCTTTAAAAGTGCATGTCATGAGCTGTGATTGCAGAACAACAGTGCATCACTAAGATTTGAGCACAGAAACAAATGCTTTAGAGAGTCACATTTTCATTCATAGTATTGCACAAATTACTCGTATTGTTGCACCTCTGGATGCAGCCGGTAACAACTTTCAGGGGGAAAAAAGCTTTCTTAGATTTCCTTAAGAGGCAGAGGGTCTATTATGCATTACCTTCTTTTATTAAATAACTTCTCAACTGAGCTACAAGAAAACATCGGCTGAAATACACGTTATTACATTTAAAAGAAACAGTTGCAAACACTCTTTAAAGCGTGAGTGTCATGCATTGCATGGGGTAGCATGAGGGGGCTTTTAATCGGTGAATATAAAAGGAATTAATCGCTGTATCAAAATTAGACTTTGGGGCATGCATTATTTATACATTTAAAGTTCTTGTTAATGACTACAGCAAATGGAAGGAAACTAGTTGTGTGAACAGGTCCATTGTTTGAACCCCTTCTTAACACCTCATCAAGCCAGCTAGCTATAAACAAAGTTGGTTAACAGCAGAACTTACAAATTACATTTCATTTGTGAAGATGGGAGAAAGAGACTATCTTTCATCTACCATCACAAATACTGAGTGAGTGAACTACCTTTTGGTTCCTTCTGAGATTTTCTTAGCCTACTATATTAAACTGGCAAGTTTAGCAGATTAATTTGATTCACTACCAAGGAATCTTCCTCTGGCTAACAGGGCCTGAGCGGGACTCACAGCAGAACAGATCAATATAAAATTACATACGATGTATTTATTTTAATGAGATGCACTTTTTATGCGACATGTTCTGCCATCGATTCCAAACTAGTTTCCCGCCTGCAAAATCTAAATTTAAAGTACCATTAACCAAGCAACCCATCACCCCAACCAGCATGGCAATGAACGATGCTTTTCACAAGCGTAAGAATAAAATGGGTCAACAACTACACGGTCCTCATCCTTTCCTACTGCCCATACTAAGCTTGTATTGCAAAGGTACAAGCACTATTCTTTCCCTGCTTAATTTACTTGTTTGCAAATTAAGAAAGCTTCCTGTAACTTCATACCCAATCTGAAACAAGGAACTTCACTGCTCATGATTAGAAGCTGCTTTGAGACTCAATTTCATAATCTAAACAAACCACCACTTATAACTAGCTACACAATTGGTAGTTCATTAGAGCTGCTTCAGACTTGAAGTCAAAACTATTTTTCAGTCAGCTCTTGTGCCTAACTTTATTGCCCCTTCAAACTTAGAAATACTCAAATATTTTGACTCCATACACGTTAACACATTACACATTCATACAGAAAGCTCAGAAACTCAATTACAGTATATTATGCTATATTCAGTTGTCAATATTTTCTTTTAAAACTACAATCTCACACATCAATTTCACCTGGTTTTGTTAAGGTCCTTCTTTCCTTATAGATTTCCTGACAGGAATTGTGCAGGATTGCGCTTGGCTTTCATTATCGTTTTCCCAAGTCTACATCTTACATTATAGCCTAGCACAGGGTCCCATGCAATGGCATTCATTAGAGCCTTTTCTTGAGGACAAATATAGAAGAAACATTGGCTCCATAGTTTTTCCATGCACATCAAGGATAAAATAAATCCTGAAGTT